GGTTTCGTGTGTCCCAAGTTTTGGTTGCTCGCACTTGCACTTGCACTCGCACTTGCACTGGACGGTATGTCACTCGATGATCGACCTAGTCTCGACGTCTGTTTCTTAGACCTCATCCTCTCGATTCGGCCGTAGTCAGCGATGCGGGGGAAAGCAAGCTTCAGTGGACAGCACGACATCTTGTGATATGACAGCCGCCCGAGAACAGGGAAATTTCTCGCCATTCGCCAGTCTCAGGCGAGAGATGGGAGATGGGACGAAACGTGACGAGGCAAGACATGCACTTGATCAACGGGCGAGGCCGGCCGCAATAGGCATCCTGTACCGCGACATGGTGTAGCCCGTCTCCCAGAAAAGAGGTCGCAATGGCGGCACAAGGTCGGACATGATCAGGGCATGGAACTTCGGCACGCGAACTTAGGCTGTCGTCGATTCCAAGGCAACTAGCGCTCGACGCGGTGCATATCACCATCACGGCGTGGGCGGCATCGAGACCTGTCAAGGGCTCCAGGGACGCAGTGACTCGGGATACGTGTCTCGTGCTGCGTGTTGCGTCTTTGGGGGCTGGAACACGAGAGAAGGCAGCCAAAGAGGTAGAGGCTGGTGAGGGGTCGGGGACGTGAAACCGAGATCGAGATGGGTGTGGGGGGAAGGGGCTTATTCGCATGCTTCGGAACACAAAAACAGACAACAACAGATGGCTCGCAACGTGCTGCATGTCGAGCCAGAGGATTGGCGGGGCTAATGGGAGATCAGGAGGCCCCGGAGGCCCTCCTTCCCTCCGGCGACGACAGATCGTTGCCGCAAGGGACGAAGGAGGAGGATGGGACAATGATGGGCATGATGGGCATGATGGCACCGATGGCGTTGAGGGGATAACCTGTGGTGTGATGAGGATGGGCAGGTTCGGTGGGGTTCGGCGCCAGCTTGTGTCGGGCAGTCACGCGAACAGGGTGGGAAATTGATGTGGTTGCTATGGATTTCCCATGTTTGCGAAGCATGGGAGAGCTTGCTTGGTTCTAGCCTCTTTCTTGCCTTTTGCCTCTTGCCTGGTTCGTACTTGCCCGCCCTCGCCCCTCTTTCCTGCTCCAGTCCCCAGATCGATCTCGATGTCGTAATGAGTGCGTGGCAGTCCATGACGGCATACTGTGGGGTAGGTGACGCCACAGCAGCTGGGTCGCACCAGCCACATGCTAGCAGACCAGCTTTCGTTCCGTCTGGCGAAGGCAAGTGGCATGCGGTCGAGTAGCGGGGTCAGTGGAGCCCGCGGATCTCCCACCGGCGGCTCTTGCGTCATTGAGACCGACCCCACCCTTGACCTCACCTCATCTCTCTCGCGCCTTGTGCAGCTCGAGCTCGACCTCTGCCTCCAGCCTGGCGTCTACCTTGGGGCCTGGCCTCTCGTACCAAGACGTCTTGGCTCTCCATCTACGAAACGTACCGAAATGACACAGAATATGGATCCCTGAGCCTCGTGTGCGGGGAACAGAATAGGTCCGTCGACGCGCGGCTGGCGTGTGTAGGCCGCCCCCGCCCCCTCTTTGATTCTGGCTCTGGCTCTGGCCCTGCCGTCTCCGATTCTGCCCTCATCTCCAAGAAAGGAAGGCCTCTGCACGAAGACCCGTGTCCCAAACAAGCTCATCTGTGGCTCCAGACCAAAACCCACTCGTCGTCGCACCAGGAGGGTCACCAGCCACATCGCCACTCATCTCATCGCTCCGCTTATGATCTGTCTTCTCTTCAAGCTTTGAACGCTGCTTGTCAAGCTCCCGAAACGGTTCCCACATATGACGACGTTCAAGCGCCCCCTTGCGCAATGAGGAACCCTCACCAGCCATCATGCTGCCCCTCCCCAGAGAACCGTAAACGGGAATCGGGCGTGATGGTCTCCACCTCTTCCGGGCAGCCCAGCCCAGAACTGACCACAACGCCAAGAGCCTGACAGATTCGACAGGGGTCTAATCTGCTTCGGACCAGAAGCACCGGTGTCGACAGGGTACCAAAGCTTGTAACCTACCTAGGTACCGTACGCTCGTGAGCTCTGCAGCCAGCCTGGACAAGCATGACAGGAGCCCTCCTCCTTGCCCGACCAAGACCGATGACGCCAGAGGGATAGTGGGAGTGCCGCATCATGTGGGACCAGGAGAGCGGCATGTGGGGACATGAGACGAGAGTAGACTAGACCAGACCAAACCAGACCAAAGCTGAACAGCGGACGAGGGACAAACCGGCTGGATCTGTGTGTATCGACCGAGCGGGACAGGCTTGCCAGGCAATGGATCCAGCGACCCCCATGCATGTGCCTTTTGCCCAAATCAAGGCACGCTGTGACTTTGCTGTCGCGACCCGTCAGCAAGGGCAGCGACCCCGTCCGTCACGATTACCCCCTAGTCACTCATCACATCTCTACCTCTGTCACAC